AACGTTTTCAAACGGATTTGAAATTATGAATATTATAATACTGCAAGGGTAATTTTTTATATGCTGCCGGTTTTTAGCGAAAAAAAATTGAAACAAATAATAGTAATCACTTAAGATATATCGCATTTTTATTTATATATAAGATTATCCAAGCTGACCCAAGTTTTTGTTTTGAACTTAAATTATGCCCCGCGGTGTTATGTTTAAGATTCTTGCAAAATTAACTGTCACTCTCTGATATTTAGCTGATGCTAGCGTAATGATAAGTTGGCTTTTGAAAAAAGAACTTCTAAAACCAAATAAAAACTAAACGGAAAACTTGTGTTTTGCCAAAACGTTGCAAGGGCCGAAATAACGAGTTCAACCAAGAAATTCTTAGACATTTCAGCCTTAAAATAGGCCAGTTAAAAGAGGAAGCAGAACTTTAAAAGTACTCTCGCATTTTAACAATGCATTACTCATTTCCTATAAATCATTAATAACGAACTTGAAATATAAATGGCAAAAAGAAAGTGGTGAAAAGGCACTTTACAATAATTCTATAAATTTTGGAATTCACTTATATTTATGTTATTCCGCATACCTATCTACTCAGGTATTACGTTAAGAACCTTGTATATTGTTAATTATTGTTTAAATATGGTGAGTATGCGGTATAGCATTGAATGTTTTTTGCCTTATGACTAAATATACTAATATTTTTACTAAAACCATAGTTAGGTAGTCTCAATCGCGAAAGCAATATAATCACTGTTAAGTATTTAATAGTTTTATATAACCACGACTAGTTTAAAGATTTTAAATCTAATTTTTATTTCTGTTAAATATACCAAAGAAAAAATAACTATAAGAATTAGCAAATAATCTTTTAAATTCCAAATAAGTATTGTTATTTATGTCAATAATGTAGTACGTAATTTATTCATTTAACAATATAAAAAAGTGTGTTAATTCTGTTGATCCTATACCTGGAGGTTCCAAACATCAATAAAATCATATTATTTCATATAGATAGACTTTTTTCATTACTTTTGACTGATATATTAAAATAAACGTTCTATCCACATACGTCCATAAGAGCGACCCAGAATGCGGTGCGACGTACCACGTCAATACGCTACCAAAACCTCTCCGATTCCGCTTCATTTTAAACAAAGCTCCTTCGTGTAACTACGCGAACTATTATTGTCCGAGGTAAATACATATGTGGTAATAATGACGAGCCGTATGTATACGTTCGTGTATCGATCTTTTTAATATATGGAAAACATTCGTCGCCGCCAAGGACCGTATACGTGTGATAAACCCTTGAACCCGACGCACAGAGACGTATTTAGGTTGCGTACGTACCTTGCTGTATTGTCCCAACACGTATTTCAAGATCTCTGGCGGCGCTGTCCAAAGTAGCGGTTCTAAAGCGGGCACTAGCGTGCATTTTTGCAGGCAAACTTTTAAGCTGTTCTGACACTTCAACCGCAGGTCTGCCGACGTAGTCGGGCTCTGATACAAAGCTATTAACCTGTAAAACAATCCTCTAAAGACTATGCGTCTTTAAAATTACAAAAAAATGTACTTCTTTGTCAAAGAAATATGCGCCATTATCTTCACGATTTTCTGTCAAGGCCACAGAATAATAACGTTAGTGTTTCTTTTACCGAGTCAACCGTTTTGGTCGGATGAGAAAGTAGGCAACCAACAATTTTTCTAGCCTCTAGATCGAAGAGCAGACTGCCAATTAGTCCTCTTATTATTTTGCCCAGCGTATGCGTGCCCGCTATGTTTCAAAGGCGGCATTATGTAAGTTTCGGGAACATTTTACAATTTAGGACGGGCAACAAGCATTATAAACTCTGCTTGTAATAAAATAAAAATAAAAAATGATTGATAGAAACTAATAAATATGTTCAGTTACGACGATGGTTGAATCTCCTCGACGCCTTCAAGGGCCAAGTAAAGCAGAATTAGTTGAGAGGATAGCACATATAGCTATTAGATAACATAGTGGCTATACTACTGTAAAAATTGATGAGCCGGTGGCAGCAATATTTTCGTAGTTAAGGTTGTAATTTTCTACATTTCACCCACTAACCTGCACATTACGCCATTTGCTTTGTACACAACTAGTTCCATAAACATACATTTGTTTTCCCAAAACATTCAACGTCATCAAAACATACGACCCTAAAAATCCCGCATCCAAACTTACTGACGGACTGTCAGTGACCATGTTGGTTTTGAAAGTTGCAAGGTCATTGATTAAAAACCACATTTTAAATCTCGCGCATGCGCATGTTGAATTGATTTCATAGTTGCTTCATAAGTTCCTGTATTATTGGCATAGGCCTCTATATCTCTAATAGCTATAGGCGTTTGCATAACACTTTTTTTTGTCAAGTTATTGTAATCTTGTTTCAATGAATTCGCGACTTACAGCAGATAAGTGACTATAAACTATTATTTTCTAGCTAATCATATTAAAAAACATGATATGTGCTATTTATACATTTTTGAAGTGACCGAAACATATGGCGGATGTTGGGGCATGCGTTTGCTTCGTATGATTACGTACGTACTTCTGGAAAATATTTGCCGAAGCTACTGCGTGCGCATGCTCGGTAGTGTGCCTTCCGATTTGTCCTATCGCCCATACGGTAACCGAAACAAGACTCTCGTCCGCAGGCTCGTTTAAAATACGTTCAAATATTTGAATACTCTGGTAGCCGATGATCGTCATGGCCAGCTCGGCAGACTGACCTAAAAAGCAGCGCCATCTAACGGTATTCCCTTCAAAAACGAACCACGGGTTTCACGAATTACCCGCAATAAAACCAATGGCGCTAATACACGGCACGGCAACTTCTACAGCAACTGTGGGTTGTTGAAACAAAATCTCCAATAGTGCGCCTGCAAATTCGATGGCGGTCACTTTTAGTGCTTCCAACCGCTCTTCCTTTTACCAAAACGTATTGAACCAAAGGAGAGACCTGATGTCATGAATCAGTTTATAACGTATTAAAATACTAGTGTCAAAATAACGATTAATTTGGCTTTGGCCGTAGGTATAGGAAAAAACAACACGAATTTCAAACGAATTGGTATGAAAACAGAAATAAAAAAATGTATCTCTTGTCGCAGACCATATCTTCTTCTTTTCGATAAAGAGCGATGTAGTTGTAATCTAAAGACCAGTCATGTTAAAAATATACTATTTAATAATCAAACCGTAAACTTTCCAGGTCTCTCCCGTGAATTAACACTTTTTCGATTACCAATCCCCCCCGTGTTAACGACCAATTGGGTGAGTTCTAGCGAATGTTTTGCGACGTCCCGCACTACGCAAGCGGCCCAACGTTTGATTTGGTTGCAAGGGTGGGACAAGTGTTGAAAAACGGTCGGGAATATCTCGGCTTCCACTATGACCTCGGCCAATTCGGCCGAGTGTTTCGCGCAAGAACCTGTGCATTCATGTAAACGTAAAACGTACGCCGTACTAAGCGAGCGTTCGTACTCAACGCAATTAAACATTGTCGTTTCAATTTCTCGTCAGAGTTGGCCAAATTCTTCACCAACGACGGTAGAATACCTGCATCGACAACGCTAGTCGCTAAGGCATCCGAATGCTTGGCTATGTCGGACAGCGCAATGGTGGCTATTTGTTTTAGCGACAGCTCGGGTTCCTGGAGGCAGAGCATTAAAAGCGGCAACGCGCCGTGGTCTACGCATTCTTGCGCCATGTTTTCGGTGTGGCGCGCTATGTAACCCACTCCCCAAGCTGCAGATTCTTTTACCTTGAATCAACACGGCAATCAAAGTGTACATTCAGTGGCAGTTTTTATTGATTCAATTTTGAAGTTCAATTCTACCATCTAACCGCTAACCGCTAGATACTCACGATGGGTTCAAAATCTTCCAAACAGTAAACGAGCGCTTGCAGACCACCATTTCTAACGACAGTTTCGGTTAATTTCTCGTTATGCTTACAGATTGAACGTATAATAAACAAAATGGCCGAGTTTTGATATTTCTACGAATGCGGTGGGTTTAGTTATTGAAGTTAATATGTTTTGTTAATTACGTTGCCGGAAGTTAGATCATTCAACAGCACAGACAAAGTGCCCGACTTCACGATTTGCTCTGCGATTGTTTCGTCGGCGTGGATAAGCCTTCCCAAAGCAACCAGGGCGCAATGTTTGATTTGTGGACATACGTCGCTGACCAAAGGTTTTAGTAAATCTAGAAAAGTGGGCAATTTTTTGGCGGATCTGGCCAATAAGTATTCCTTTTACCTAAAACGTTAGTTTTCTTCAAAAGCGCTACATTTTGCGACCTCATCGCCATATCTGAAATGTTTTGCACGAACGTGAGCCTGGCTTTCTTGTATTGATCCAATACTTGTACAATACGTCTGTTCGACATTGCAAATGACTAAATAAATACGGAAAAAGTGGAGCAAGTCATGTCAAAGTCTTGTTCAATATGAAAGATGTCATAATTTACAATTTGGAATATACTAAATATGTTCCTTTTTTAACATAATTTCCTGCGCACCCGTCAAATCCGAAGCTGTAATGTTGGTTGCATGCAAGCTTTGTTTGGGCTTATTTCTGACCCTTACCACAGAGTAAAATTCTGTGGGTAGCTTTCAGAAGACAGGTCGATTCCTGTCCTTTGCCTACAAAATCCAAATTTTTTAATGTTTAAGACTTGTTTTCTGTTAAACCGTTAATGTGTTGGATCTTTGTGAATAGTTAGTGTCATTTGGTAATATAAGTTTTGGCCATACACGTCGGGAACCACGCCGGATGGGCTCAAAGGTCATTGGTAGAACCGAGGGGAGTCGCGTTCTTTAGTGTCAGTAAATGGGTTGGTCAGAACCAACACGAATCGTTAACCTTATTTGCAGAAAAGTTTAAATATTGTTGTAAGCTGGCCGATTTGCCTTATGTTGATGTGGCTAAATAAATTGTAAAAAGAAGAAGAGCACAGAGTAAACACTGGAGTTTCTTTTAGCCTAGGCATATAACCTAATAATATTAATCTATTTTTTTGCCTTAAGTGAAAGGATTTTTTTTATTATAATGGCACACCACGTAAGTCGTGTAGCTCTAAATTTTAATAATTTTAAGTGCAATGCTTTTAATGTGATTAAGGTATTATGTGTGAGCAAAATATTTTAACGGATTACATACTGTATTTGATTAGTTTTTCAGTTCTTCAGATTCGGGCATTCCCAAGAATGTACTCGAAAATGTCATATCGGCCCATCATCAGGCAAATAATGGAGTGGTTTATGACAAAAAGCCGTTTAGGATGACTTTAGAAGCAGGTTAGTAAAGTAAAATTTAAATAACACTTTCCTTACTTTTTTTTCAGGTAAAAGGTATTCCTGGTGTTTGTGTGGAAGGAGTAAAAAACAACCTCTTTGTGATGGCACCCATAAAAATGAACAACTCAGAATTACTCTTAAGTAAGTGCTCACTTTTGGTCAAACTTAGTTAATTCATTAGTTATGGGTTATTTTCTTTAGACCAGTTAAATTTGCCGTTGAAGAAACAAAGGAATACTGGTTATGTAATTGCAAACAAACGGCCCATCGCCCTTTCTGTGATGGAACACACAAAGTCAGTGAAGTACAAGAGGCAACGTCGATTGTGAAGCAGTAAACTGAAGAGTTTTTGTAGTAAATAGGATTTAATTGTAAATAAAATGTAAATCTACTTAACAGTCAACATTTATTTCACTAAGGCATTTATTATACTATAGTAACCTAAGTTTTACTACTACTCGATGTTCCATCAGCACTTCCTTCTTTGAGCTCATGGTCTAAACGCTCTTTAGCTCTAACGATTTTTGACTGTAAATATAATGAGGTCTTTTCATTCGCCTTAAACAGATTTTCGTAGCTTCTGTTGACTTCTTCCTTCGTTAGTTCGCTGACGTTCAATATTTGTTTGGCCTCTTCCAGTGATAGACCGAGTTTTTGATTAGCTAACCTCTCGGTCCTGGTTTTGGCGTTACCTAGTCGTTGTGCCGCCTGTTGCGACGCTTCGATTTCTTGCTTGACAGCCCTCGCGAATGCTCGCGCTACCACCTGAGTCCCGGCCACGATCAACTGCGCCAGGTATCTTGCCATTTGTATCTATCATTTATTATGCAAAATTTTACTAACCTCTACGCATTTTCCGAAACATGGAAAACAAAAAGACAGGGAATATAGTTTTGACAAATATTTGGTTCTTCTTCTTTTGGAAGAATGAGACCAATATGGCGAGTTCGATACGTTTCTTGGTTGTTGTTCTCGCGATAGAAAAAAATGCGTTGGTTTTTCTTTATTGCGTTTTCGTTGCAAGCTTATGAAAATAAATTCGAAAATTGAACTAAGGTGACTTTTATTTGATGAAAATCTATTTATCAAAATAAATAAGAAATAAAAGTTCAGATTTTCACGAAATTATATATTTTGACATGACAATTGTTTCGACAACGGCCGCGTCTTTATCAAATAACATTTGATAAAGACACGGTGTTGTCGAAACAAATGACATTTGATAAAGACACGGTGTTGTCGAAACAATTGTCATGTCAAAATATATAATTTCGTGAAAATCTGAACTTTTAGTTCTTATTTGTTTTGTTAAAATAAATTGTGTTATTTAGACAAGGTTCAATATAATACATTCATCAGCGCTATATTAACGAAATAAGAGTTTGTCGACATGAGCCTTGAAAATGGTATTTACATGTAAAATTGTTAGTTATCATACTAATGGTGACGCTAACTTCTCGAATTTATTTTGTAGCTCAAAGCATGCGGGCGACATCTATCGACCTATAGAGTCACTATTTTGAACAAGTCGGAATCTTTATTTGGCGGGCCTCACATTGTTTCGGCAAAACTGTAGAAGATGCCGCTGCCGTCACAATAATTATTTAAAAATTAAAATTATTAAACGCCGACATGTAGATAACACGTTTGGCGAAACGCGGTTATTTTTAAATCTTCGGCCTATATAATATGCATAATTTAAATACGGTATAAAATTATCATTTACTTTGATTGATACATCAAAGTAAATCGATCACGATTAGGTCCAATCAAAAAATAAAACTGAGCGCGTTTTGGTGCGGCAAAGGCGGTCCCAAATTGCAGATAATTTCGGTATAATGCTTTTATGATGTCGGTTTTGATATCGCGTTCAAACTGGCCTCCGTTGGAATGCGCCAAGGGGAATAGGCCCACATATTTTCGTAAAATTATGCCGCCGATTTACAATTTCGGTTTCGCGAAAAAGCCACGCACTTTGCCTTTTTTTCTGTGGCCGAGTCGCCATTTCTGCCTCGACCCAAATCGCCGCGATGAAAAAAAAAACGCCCGGGTTATTTGCCACCCAGGAATCGACTAAGAAATACCGTGTTGAGGTAGCAATCCGAAATAACGTCTAAATGGCGTCGCGCCGTTATTGGCGTTACGTGACTTTTGCAAAGAAGTTCGCAGCGACCTGCAGCAGTACGCGACGATGGACGTAAACAAGTTTCCAAAAGTTTACTATAAATTACGGTTACTTTCTTGGCAACAACAGATATTCACGGCGGCTATGGGATTTTTCTGCGGGACGCAATCATCTCTGTCTACGTCCAACACACAAATAATTCGTTTTTGCATGAAAATTTAACGAAATGCGGACGTCAAGTTGAAAAAATATCACGGAAAAAATACCGCTGTCAATTTCATAACTTCTGCTATAATCATTCGCCCATTGCGAAGGCGATTACAATTTTCTTTTGTAAACAAAATTTTTTTAATTTCACATAATTGCTGCATAAAACAAGTGTTTTTCAACGTAACAGCTGTTGCGAAATAATATAATTTCATAATTGCAGAAACTTAGTTTGGAAAATTAAACGCGACCTAACGAGCAAAGAGAAGAACACAAAATGGTTTAAATTTAAGTTTCATTTCGTGATATTGTTAACTTTTGGTCTGCACTTGACAAGAGCGCCGGATCTTATGGCGCATGCTCACAATAAACAAATCCCCATACTTAAAGATCGTCTATTTTAGCATACCTAGCAGTTAATAATATATTATATATTCCGATTTTAGTTTTAAATGGTGTTGCCTATAAGTAAACCCGCCCAACTATTCCTAGACGAGTAATAAAATATTTATGACATTGAATTGTCAGACTAATATTCCAGTTATTTTTAATTATGATGATAGGTCAGGAATAATATATTGCAGTCGGCCTCTGACCCCTCTTTTTAAATTGTCTAGACTATCAGCGGTCGATTGCTGCCAATTTTTTTGGCGAACGCCCGTCAGAGGAAATCGTCTATCGTCGCGTAAGGAAACCGAGTTCTACCTACAGCGAGCCCGCTCATAAGATTTTTGCGTCACAAAATGAATACTGATATATTGTTTTATGTTTTTATTTTTAAGTGACGTACATGGGTAAATGATACCTTGTTTTTGGAAACGTGTTTTGTTTATTTCAATCATAACGGCTTTTGAAAAACTCAATTATAATTAAAATAACAGTAGCAAACAATACTTTCCTTTAAAGTATTTTATTCGGATCCCTAATGAGAGAGCGCCCTTAGCTGCCTTGCCCAACGTAGTAAAAATTAAGAAAGATGTCTTCCTTTGAATCGACTGATGTACTAATCGCGGTTGAATTTTCGAGGTTAGGCTAGCGGTAATAAAAAATCACGAACTCAACTGGCCCTGTTCGTGGTAGTGAAAAGGAAAAACGATTCGGGGAATCGGTCAAGTGCAATGCGCCAGACGTCGGAAAAAAAAGCGTCTGTTCTCGGAAAATTGGTTTAGTCTAATATTCCGTAGTTCGTCAGATTTGATTTAATGGCTGAAGGGCCCTTTCGCTTTCGCCGACGCTTTCGCTTGTCTAGTATGTGGCTTCGTCCAGTGTCGTACGTAGAATTAAAAATAAAACAGATTTCCATATTTTTACCTGAAACAAAAGCGCAAAGCAACCATCACCTTCAATCTTCTTAATTTTTTATGTTTTATGTCAAAATACGCCTCCAGCCAGTGTTTTTATTGTCGTATGAGTGATTAGGTTAATTCTACAGTATGAGAATATGTCGTCACTGTAAGCCACCAAATACTCCAAGCACACCTGTCCAAATACAGTAATCGTTTTCAAAACGCGTTCTTGAGAGTGTGGTTTTCATTTATTGACGAATTTAGATTGAGAAAGCAATATAAACGAGTTTGTTAGGCATTATGTTCAATATAAGAAATCGTTTCTTTATCGACTTCGTGTAAGAAAATTGTATTATGTATTAAGCGTGTCGCAGTTATGATTGAACTGTTTTATGCTTTCGATAGATTCTCGAATTATTCTTGGATAAAAGAGAGCGCTAGATGCAGATGTAATGTAAGGTTAAGTCATGTCAAGGGACAAAGATTTATGATTTTCTAATTGGTTAATGAATTTGTTTTTTTGGTGTATGGGTTTTAGGTCATTCAGAAATTATTAAAGAGATTCCTGGCAATGTTCCATAAAAATATTCACGATGGCAGGGCAAATTGCGAAATCCCTAGCTGATCGGATTTAGTTCTGACGTTGAATTTCTCTAGCTGTTCTGATATTCTAATCAATTCTGAAATTGAATCTCTCTTTCTTGCTCTTGAATAGAAATCATCTGAGACATATAAAAATCCAAAAAAAGTCCCTGCCGAACTTCTCATTTCCATCGAAAACAAATTTATGAACAAATATGAGGTACAGCTGTTCCTCACTTTCCCCCATCATCGCGAACATTCAAAACTAAAACCGAAACCGTGGAAAAGGTATGTAAATCATAGCATAGCATAGGTAGGAAAAACTCATTATTTATGGAAAAGTTGAAATTGAAATGAGATTGCCGTCTTCTAAACATAATGGGTTCGCAAATGTGTTAATCTTCGCTCATGTTGCACCCGAGTACGGTCATATTTAAGTCATCCTGAAGTTGTTGGAAGTCTAAATGTCAACGCATACATTTATTAGCAAATGGGAGAAATTTACATATTCCGAATGAAAAATAAAGTACAGAGAAGTGGGTCAATGTTAGTTATGCACTCGTTAATCTGAGTTCTACTAATAAGGTAACTTTGTAATGAGACCATTCAAGCTTACTAAGAAGAATGCTATTTTCCAACGCGCTCAGCATACGACCAGTGTACGTTAATACGTTCTTATGCTACAATTTTGTCAAAAATGTTCGAAACGCAATCTAGGCAATCTAAAACACCTCAAACTACAGCATTGACTGGTAGGGCCCATAACTGTCAATCTCTGTCGCATACCGATATATATGCCTCTTGACCAATCATAATATTTTCTATATGTAGTTGAATACGTTGATGCCTTTTAAATATGTCAATGTGTGTTTAATTTGTCCCTTCTTCAAGTTGTCTTAAAAAATCTTGTGCTTGCAAACCATATATTGGACATTCACAATTAGGTTCACCGTTAATGAGATGTTTGCGGGTAAATAATATGTGTCCTGTAGACACTCTAAAAACTCTTACTGCTTCCAGTCTGGGTAGGTCTGTGGGTTCATATTTTGGTGTTGCTTCTGGAATTGTTTTTCGAAGCAAAGTGTTTCATTCAATCCAGATGTTTTGCCAGTCCTGACGGATGTTTTCGTTAACCAATAGTCTGAACTGTTTTCTCTGCTTGGTAACAAGTTGTTTGTAGTTTATTGTTATTATTATTATTTATTTTGGCACATGATTCTTCCCCGCATTTTAAGACGTAACCATCTGTATTGGACAAGATGGGACGTTTTTTCCTTAAAACACTTAACGCAGCTAACTTCAGTTACCACCCACGATTCTTCTTATAATTGTGCATGCATCCAGAATGACGGCTTTTTGCATTGGCTTTGGTATTTTTCCCGTTACTCCTATAATGACAGGGACTATCGCTGCAGAGTTCATAGTCCACATTTGTCGGATCTCGTCAGCCAATAGCAGGTATTTATTAATTTTTTCCGTATGTGTTCTCTGTATATTCATTGCTAGCGACACAGCAAAGTCGACTATGATGGTGCTCTTAACGGTCTTAAAAATAAAGTATTCCTATTCCAGGTGGGAGCTCTTAATGATATTGATCGAGCTTTTGATGTATAATTTCTGCCTTTATTATGGTAATACGTTCTGAGGTTCTGTTTGTTATTGACAAGCACAAGA